GGGATAAGTCCCTCAATGAGTGCAACCCTTGTGTTTATTTGCCATCATTGATTTTGGAACCATAAATAGACTGCCGGTGATAAGCCGGAGGAACGTGATGATGATGTCAAGTCATCATGCCCCTTATGCCCTGGGCGACATATGTGCTACAATGGCCGGGACAAAGAGTCGCAATCCCGCAAGGGTTATCAAACCCCAAAAACCCAGACTCAGTTCGGAATGCATGCTGAAACTTTCATGCATGAAGACGGAATCGCTAGTACTCATCGGTCAGCCATACGGCCGTTTATTCATTCCCAGGCCTTGTACACATCGTCCGTCATACTATGGGAGCTGTCCATGCCCAAATTCGTTACCTTAACCACAAGGAGGGGGATGCCAATGGAAGGTCTGGTGACTCGAGTGAAGTCGTTACAAGGTAGTCGTACTAGAAGGTGCGGTTAGATCACCTCTTTTTAAGGGAGAGCTGATGCTTGTTGGGTATTTTGGTTTGACAATGGTTCACACAGTCCCAAAAAAAGAAGGGAGCTACATCTGAGTTAAACTTGGCGATGGAAGTCTTCTTTCCTTTCTCGACAGTGAAGTAAGACCAAGGTCATGAGCTTATTATCCTAGGTCGGAACAAGTTGATAGGACCCCTTTTTTTACGTACCTATGTTCTCCCACTGTGGCGACAAGGAGGCAAAAAAAGGAAAGAGAGGGATGGGGTTTCTCTCGCTTTTGGCATAGCGGGTCCCCAGTGGGAGGCTCGCACGATGGGCTATTAGCTCAGTGGTAGATCGCGCCCTTGATAATTACGTCGTTGTGCCAAGGCTATGAGGAATCTCAGCAACATGGATAGTTCAATGTGCTCATCGGTGCCTGACCGTGAGATGTGGATCATCCAAGGAACATTACCATGGCTTACTCCTCCTGTTCGAATCGGGGTTTGAAACCAAACTTCTCCTCAGGAGGATAGATGGGGAGATTCGGGTGAGATCCAATGTAGATAAAACTTTCAATTCACTTGTGGGATCCGGGCGGTACGAGGGGGACCACCACAACTCCTCTCTTCTCGAGAATCCATACATCCCTTATTAGTGTATGGAGAACTATATCTGAAGCACAAGTTTAGTTCGGCCTCAATGGGAAAATAAAATGAAGCACCTAAAAAAACATCTTCACAGACCAAGAACTCTGAGATCACCCCTTTCATTCTGGGGTAACGGAGAGATCTAACCATTCCAGCTATATTTTTCTTGACTAGAAATCAAAATGGGACCAGGTTTTAAAAAGGATCTTAGACTATCTAGGGTTGGTCCAGGAGTGTCTCTTAACATCATTTTTTTCTCATCGGAGTTATTTCACAAAGACTTGTCTTGGTATAGAAGAAGGGGGGAACACGCACACTTGGAAAGCGCAGTACAATGGAGAATTGTATGATGCGTTAGGGAAGGAAGAATCACTCCCGAAAAGGAATCTATTGATTCTCTTTCAATTGGTTGGACCGTTGGTGAGATGATTTACTTCATGAGCTAGGTCTCTAGTTCAAGTCCTTGATGGCCCAGCTGCGCCAGGGAAATTTATTGAAGAAGCATCTAACTACTTCATTCATGCTCCACTTGGCTCGGGGGATAGAGCTAAGTTGGTGAAGCTCCGCTCTTGCAGTTGGCCAGATCTAGTATTGATTTTTCATGTACGGTAGATGGAGTCGGCGGATCTCCCATGGTTCCCTCATCCGAGATCTCTGGGGAAGAGTATCAAGTTCGCCCGTGCGAACAACTTGATGCACAATGTCCCTTCAACCATTTGAGCAAAATGTGGGAAAAGAAAAAGAAGGAAAACCCATAGACAGACCCCATCATCTCCACCCCGTTGGAACTACGAGATCACCCCAAGGATGCCTTCATCATCCAGGGGTCACGGACCGGCAATAGAATCCTGTTCAATAAGAGGAATTCATTAGCTCTCCGCTCTCAGATTAGGCAGTCAGGGTCGGAGAAGGGCAATGACTCATTCTAAAAACCAGTGTTCATAAGACCAAAAATTTGGGCGGAAGGGGGGAAAACCCTCCGTTCCTTGTTATCCTGTAGTTGGATCCTCACTTATTTTCTATCTTTGGCCTCTATGGTAAAATCAATTGGGGGACATCAGAGGCGGTGGTTTACCCTACGTCGAATGTCATCGACTCGAGTTAGCTTCTCTCCAACTCGTGAACATAGCCGATACAAAGATTTATGATAGAACCCAATTTTTCCGATTCGTCGGTTCGATTTATGATTTATCATTCATGGACGTTGATAAGATCCATCCAGTTAGCAGAACCTTAGGATTGCATATACTCAAAAGTAAATGGTGAGGTTCAAACGGGGAAAGGCTTACGGTGGATACCTAGGAACCCAGAGATGAGGAAGGGCGCAGTAATCGATAAAAGTCTTCGTGGAGTTGAAAATAAGCATAGATATGGAGATTCTCGAATAGGGCAACCTCTCGAACTACAGCTGGATCCATGGTCAGGCAAGAGATAACTTGGCGAACTGAAACATCGTAGTAGCTAGAGAAAAAGATAGCAAAAGTGATTCTCGTAGTAGCGCCGAGTGAAATGAGAGAATCCTAAACTGTAAAAATGGGGTTGTGGGAGAGAATGACAAACGTCGTACTGCTAGGCGAAGCAGCCTAAATTTTGCACCCTAGATGGCGAATGTCATGTAAATGAAAGCATCACTATCTTACGCTCTGACCCGAGTAGCATGGGGCACGTTGAATCCCGTGTGAATCATCAAGGACCACCTGGGTAAATACTCATGGGTGACCAACAACGATGTAGTACTGTGAGGCAAGGGTTAATATAACCCCTATCAGGGAGTGAAATAGAACATGAAATCGTAAGATGCCAAGCAGTGGGAGAATCCAGGGCTCTGACCACGTGCCTGTTGAAAAATGAGTCGGCGACTAATAGTTTGTGGCTTTGTTAGGGAACCCACCGGATCCATAGCAAAGTCGAGTGTTCATAGGGCAATTGTCACTGCTTATAGAACGAACCTTTGTGATCTATCCATGACCAGGATGAAGATTGGGTGAAACTTTGTTGATGTTTGAACCAAGTGATGTTGAAAAATCAACGGATAAGTTGTGGTTAGGGGTGAAATGTCACTCTAACCCAGAGCTAGCTAGTTCTCCCTGAAATGCTTTGTGGCACATCATTTGACTAGACATCTAGGGATAAAGCACTGTTTCAGTGCAGGCGGCAAGAGCGGTAGCAAATTGAGGAAAATCTGAATACTAGATATGACCTCAAAATAAAAGGGGTCAAGGTCTGCTAGTGAGACGATGGGGGTAACACTTCATCATCGAGAGGGAAACACCCCAATTCACCAGTTATGGCCCCTAAATACTGCTCAGTGATAAAGAAGGTAGGGGTGCAGAGATGATATGCTCAAACTTACTCCTCAAATGAGAAGTAAAGCGGTCGCGTCAAGTAAATAACCCAACTAGTGAGGTTGGGATCGTTCCCACGAGGAAAATAGTGTAGACTTAACTCCAACTTGTTATTACTGTTGTTCGGTTGATGACTTTCATAAAAAGTAAAAGCATAAAAGGGGGGTTTTGTACTTCCTAATAAAATAAAAAATAACTAACGAACTTGACAGAGACACTTAACAACTTTTAATGTTGAGTTTTAATCAAGTAATCAAAGTAACTAGGGTTTAGGTGTTCTCCACAGGTTCATAACTTGCTAATTCTAGCTATAATAATTCTTTTCTAGTATCTTGCATACAAAGTGATAAGCTGTGTATTTCTAAATCCTTGGTCCGGCATCTAGAAAATCTCACTCCGCACCTTGGTCCGGCTACGTGTGTTGCTTTCCTAACCCTTATCCTTACCTCATACTAAGCATCATATTCGATATTTGACTCAGTTATTACCTCGTACCAATCAATACTAGCCTATTAGATAGTATACACTAAATCTATGTTAATAATTCTTTTCCTATTATCTACCTCCTTGGTCCGGCAAGTAGCATTAAGGCGAGTTGTAACGTTAATCATCCGTTAAAAAGACTTCTATGCGAAAGAATTACTAATACATGCAAGAAACTATTCTAGAATTGTTATTTTAGCTAGGGTTTATCTTATTATTTGCCTATGGTTCCCACAACCCTAGTTATAGAGTTTAGTTCATCATATCCATAAACACAATATTCAAATACATTAAACAAGAAGTCATGTACTTACTTTTATGAGAAAGAATAAAGTCTGAAAATTTGATTGATTAATCAACAAGAGATACTTGTAAGGATCTCCAACAATCAAAAACTCAGAAAAAACAAAGTCTAACAATATGATGTTTAATCTCCAAGAGTCTAACCTCAAAACGAGGTTTTTCAAACTATTTATAAAAAAATTAAAACCTAAATAAACAAGGATTCTAATTACTGGAAATCTGTCAAAACGCGGCTGGGTCGACGGACCACGCGACGGAACGTCGTGGTCATGACGGACCGTCGTGGGCTCCATCGCCCCATACTTGGTGCAATTCTTCTGCTGCTTTCTTCATTCCCCTCGACGGCAATTGTGACGGACCGTCACAGGCACGACGGTCCGTCGAGGGTCTTCATTACCAAATACATCAACTCTTGGAATCTGGGTACTGGGATCACTTCTCTGATCTTCGCGACGAACCTGCAGGACGGACCGTCATATCCATGACGGACCGTCAAAAGCTTCGTAATCCCACACTTGGTCAGACTTCCCCATCTTCCTTCAGCAGCTTCTCTACGCTACGACCTACGGACCGTCACAAGCACAATGGACCGTCATAAGCTCCGTAGGTGGTCTCTTCTGCATTTTTCGCTCAAAATCTCTGCATTCAGTTTTAGACAGATTTCCTGCAAAACAAAGAAAAACTTATATCAAAATTAGCACAAAAAGGCTTTCCGAAACAATAAACTTAAGGAAAAGGTATTAATTATACCGTGAAACCACGGTATATCAAGAGACAGCTAGGAGGTTTACCTAGAAGCAGCCACCCTTGAAAGAGTGCATAATAGCTCACTGATCGAGCACTCTTGTACCGAAGATGAACGGGGCTAAGCGGTCTGTCGAAGATGTGGGATGTAAAAATACATTTCTATGAAAGAACTCCACCTTAGAGAGAAGCCTTCGCGCGAGAGGTGGTGGACAAAGCGGAAGTGAGAATGTCGGCTTGAGTAACACAAACATTGGTAAGAATCCAATGCCCCGAAAACCTAAGGGTTCCTCCGCAAGGTTCGTCCATGAAGGGTGAGTCAGGGCCTAAGATCAGGTCGAAAGGCGTACTGGATTGACAAAAGGTGAATATTCCTGTACTACCCCTTGTTAGTCTCGAGGGAATGGAGAGGCTAGGTTACCTGAAAGATGGTTATCGGTTCAAGAACGCGAGATGTCCCTACTTTTTCAGGATATGAAGGGTTAGAGAAAATTCCTCGAGCAAATGTTTGAATACAATGTGCAACAGAGCTGAAATAACCCATGCCATACTCCAAGGAAAAGTTCAAACTATGATAAGCAAGAGGGATCCTATACCCGAAACTAACACAGGTTGGTAGGTAGAGAATACCTAGGGGCGCTAGACAACTCTCTCAAAGGAACTCAGCAAAATAGCCCCGTAACTTCGGGAGAAGGGGTGCCTCCTCACAAAGGGAGTCGAAGTGACCAGGCCCGGGCGACTGTTTACAAAAAAACACAAGTCACTGCAAAGTCGTAATACCATGTACGGGGGCTAACGCCTACCCAGTGCCAAAAGGTCAAGGAAGTTGGTAAGCTGATGACAGGGGTGCGAACGACTGAAGCCCCGGTGAACGGCAGCCATAATATAATTGTCCTAAGGTAGCAAAATTCCTTGTCAGGTAAGTTCTGACCTGCACGAAAGGCGTAACAATCTGGGCAGTGTCTCAGAGAGAGGCTCGGTGAAATAGACATTTCTATGTAGATGCGGAGTACCTGCACCTGGACATAAAGACCCTATGAAGCATCACTATTCCTTGGGATTGACTTTGAGCCTTTCCTGCATCGGTTATGTGGAAGGCGAAGAAGGCCTCCTTCCGGGGGGTCCGAGCAATTAGTGAGATACAATTCTTGAAGGTTTAGAATTCTAACCTTATGTCAGGAGCTACGAGTCAAGGGACAGTCTCAGGTAGACGGTTTCAATGGGGAGTTGGCCTTCAAAAAGGTAACGGAGGCGTGCAAAGGTTTCCTCGGGTCATACATTGATTGGCCCTCGAGTGAAAAGACAGAAGGGAGCTTCACAGCAGTACTTACTTGTCGATAATGGATGATAGTCGGCCTTCGTGATCCGACGGTGCCGAGTGGAAGGGTCGTTGCTCAATAGATAAAATTTACTCTAGATATAACAGTCTGATCTTCACAAGATCTCACTTCGATGGGAAGGTTTAGCACCTCGATAATAGATCTTCGCCACCTAGGGCTATACTATGTTCCAAGGGTTGGGCTATTCGCCCATTAAAGCGGTACGTGAGCTAGGTTCAGAACGTCGTGAGACAGTTCGGTCCATATCCATTGTTGGCGTTATAGCATTGAGAGGACCTTTCCCTAGTACGAGAGGACCGGGAAGTATGCACCTTTTATGTACCACTAATCGTAACCACGGTAAATAATGGGTAGCAAAGTGCGGAAAGGATAACTGTTTAAAGCATCTAAGTAGGCCCACCCCAAGATGATTGCTTTCCAAACTTGACTTCCGCAGAGCTTTCGGTAGCACAGACGAGACAACGACGGGTTCTCTGCCCTTGCGGGGATGGAGCGACAAATGTTTTTTTGAGAATTCTAGAGAAGGTCAAGGCAAGACGAGCCGTTTATCATTACAATAGGTGTCAAGTGGAAGTGCAGTGATGTATACAACTGAGGCATCTTAACAGACCAGTAGACTTGAACCTTGTTCCTACATGACGTGATCAATTCGATCAGGCACTCACCATCTATTTTCATTGTTTAAATATTCACAACCCTAAAAAACCATTATTTATCTCTTTGAAAACATGAAAAATCAAAAAGATTTGCCCTCCCTCTCGATATATCCAAGGGATGGAAAGGGAGAGACCTTTGGTGTCATGTCCATTTATGAATTGGGGCCTCTCAATCACTAGACAATATGCTTTTCTCTCATGCTTTTATTCATTTATGGTTCTATATTTTGATGTCCTAGGTGTAGACGAACTACACCAATACATCCCAAACTTGGTGGTTAAACTCTACTACGGTGACGATACTTTGGGGAAGGTAGTGCGGAAATATAGCTCGATGTCAGGATGATAAAAATCTTAACACCTCTCATTCTTATTACTTTTTTAAATATGAAAATGAAAAAAATGAAAAAGAAAAAGGTCGTTTTATTCAAAACCCCAATTATGACATCCCTTCTCTCCCACTTCACACCTTTGAACACACCCTTCTTATAGACTTATAGAGATAAACGTGCTTTCACGTCTTCTTAACCCGAAATGGATGGGGAGAGAAAAGGTTCCTTTTTTTAGGGTACTCCCGGGAACAGATCCAGTGGAGAAGGGGTGGGGCGTGTAGGTTAGAGGATTAGAGCATGTGGATATGAACCATGGTGTCGGGGGTTCGAATCCCTCCTCGCCCATAACTTGTCCAAGAGGGAATTACCTTTCCCTCTGGGGGTTAGAAAATCATGATCGGAATAGCAAACCAAAAGCTATGGAACTTGGGTGTGGATCTTTTATCGAAATGGAATGTCTTTTTATCTTTTTATTTATCATTAATGGGGGAATCATTACACATAGTATGCCCGATCAGCATATTTTTTTGTTTTATGCCCCGTAACTCTTCCTTGGCCAGTCTTGGGCAGAATAGTAGAGCATGCATTAGGACCATAAGAAAAAATCCTTCCTCGTCATTAATATCTTTGCTCGCTGCAATTGTGACCTCTCGGGAGAATCGATGACTTCATCAAAGATGCAGTGCTTGTACGTCTGAGACTTCTTAATTGTCTAGTTGTAAATATCCCCAGGGATATGGAACGAAGGACTATCTCGTGCTTAGACCGAGGTACTGATGGTGATTTTCTAATCTCGCAGGACAAAATACGATACGATGAGATAGAATGCAATAGAAAAAAAGACAGGGAACGAGTTACCTACTCTTAACGGCCAAAGCGAGCTCCTTTATTCTCATTCTGAATTACAGAATTCATAATCAATCAAATCACCCCAAGTAGGATTCAAACATATGACAAATATCTTCATAGACGACCGCTCTACCACTGAGGTACTGAGGAACAACATGAGATTCGATCTCAAAGAGTTCAATTCCTGTTCCCAACCCATGACCAATATGAGCTTGAAACTTCCTTTGTAACTCCAAAACTTCTTTGTAGTGATTCCCTTACATTCCTCATTTCACAGGGAACCTCAAAGTGGTTCTATTTCATTATATTCCATGCATATCAAAATTCGATTAATTTAATATCCTTTTGTTGTCATTGACATAACAGATGTTTTTTCTAGTCTATCTATGTCTATTTTTTTCTATGTATGGAAAGTTCAAAAATCATCATATAATAATCCAGAAATTGCAATAGAAAAGAAATAAGGGAGGTTTATGATGATTTTTTAATCTTTTATACTATGTAATCTAGTATCCTTATGCATGAAGATAATAAATTCCGTCGTTGTGTTCGGACTCTATTGTGGATTTATGACCACATTCTCCATATGGGCCTCCTATCTCTTCCTTCTCCGAGCTCTGGTTATGTAAGAAGGAACTGAGAAGAAGGTATCAGCAACAACTGGTTTTATTATGGGACAACTTATGATGTTCATATCGATCTATTGTGCGCCTCTCCATCTAGAATTAGGTAGACCTCATACAATAACTGTCTTAGCTCTACCATATCTTTTGTTTCATTTCTTCTAGAACAATTCCAAACACTTTTTTGATTATGGATCTACTACCAGAAATTCAATGTGTAATCTCAACATTCAATGTGTATTTCTGAATAATCTTATTTTTCAATTATTTAACCATTTCATTTTACCAATTTCAATGTTAGCCAGATTAGTCAACATTTATCTCTTTCGATTCCCCAACAAGATCTTATTTGTAACAAGTGGTTTTGTTGGTGGTTAATTGGTCACATTTTATTTATGAAATGGCTTGGATTGGTATTAGTTTGGATACGACAATATCATTCTATTAGATCGAATAAGTACATTCGATAAAATAATTACCTTGTATTAGAATTTAGAAATTATATTGCCCGGATCTTTAGTATTCTCTTATTTATTACATGTGTCTACTATTGAAGCATAGTACCCTCACCCATTATTATTATGATACTGAAACATGTATCAAAAACAGAAGAAAGGGTGGAAAGGTGAGGAAGAAAGAGATGTAGAAATAGAAACTTTTCTCGAAATGAAGGGGACTAAACAGGAACAAGAGGGATCCATTGAAGAAGATCCTTATCCTTCCCTTTTTTCGGAAGAAGGGTGGGATCTGGACAAAACCGATGAAATGAAAGAAATTCGAGTGAATGGAAAGGACAAAATAAAGGATAAATTCCACTCTCACCTTATAGAGACAGACTATAACAATATTTATACTAGTTATAGTCTAATTTATGATTATCAAGATTCATATCTGAATAATAATAACACGGGGAATCTAGAAAATTGTAAATCACAACTCCTTGATTAAAAAATGAAAATCAAGAACAAGAACAAGAACAAGAGATCTTCTAGTATCAAAAACCTCTTGTGAGTCTTCTTTTCGATTATAATCGATGGAATTGACCATTCGTTACATAAAGAATAATCTATTAGAGCAGGCTGTAAGAGCAGAAATGTCACAATATTTTTTTGACACATGTAAAAGTGATGGAAAACAAAGAATGTCTTTACATACTCGCGAAGTTTATTACCTTTTTGGAAAATGATAAAAAGAAAGATACCCCTATTGTCACTCCAAAAACCACTTGCTAATGAGCTGGACACTCAGTGGGTTTCTACCAAAAAAGAAAAATGTACTAATCTAAACAAGGAATTTTTAAATGGACTTGAAATTGTAAACATGAAATCTCTTTTTCTGGATATACTCGTAACAAGGACTAGATTTTGTAATAATGATACTAAAAAGGAATAAGTGCCTAAACTGTATGATCCTTTGTTAAATGAACTATATCGAAGAACAATAAAAAAGGGGGTTTCATCTTCAATCATAAACAATACTTTGCTAGAAAATTTGGAAAAGAGAGTAAGACTGAATAGGATTCATACAATCTTTCTTCCGAATATTGATTACGAAGAATTTGAACAAAATGGGTATACGATTAATAAGGAACCATTATCAAAAGAAATTGACGATTTCTTAACATTAATCAATGAATCAGGAAATGAAGCAAAATCGAGTTTAAATTTGAAAGGTCTTTCTATATTTTCAAACCAAGAACATAGAAGAGCAAATTCAGAAAAAAGAAAGAAATATTTCGAATTTGTATTCGGTGCAATAGATTCTTATGAGACAAAATTGGGAAGAAAATCGATCGGATTAAAAGAAATCAGTAAAAAAGTACCTCGTTGGTCCCATAAATTAATCACCGACTTGGACGATAAATGGGTGAATTTAAAGATCGCGCATCAATGGATCATCAACTTCGTTCAAGAAAAGCCAAAAATGTAGTTATTTTTACTGACAACAACGCGACTAAGGATCATGGGGAGAAGTGGCTTTAATAAGCTGTTCGCAACAATCAAAATTTTGGGAGGTATAATTACAGGCGCTTTACGGGCTCAAAGGCGCAAAACATTTATATCGAAAGTATTTCAAGCAAATGTACATTCCCCCCTTTTTATCGATAGAAAAACCACCCTACATCTTTTTTCTTTTGATATCTCTGAACTAATTAAACCAATTTTTCGAAATTGAAAAGATAAAGATGGAGAATTCACGATTCTAGGGTCTAGAGAAGAACAAACAAAACGAGAAGAGAAAAAAGAAATGGACAAAAAAGAGGATAACAAAACAAAGGAACAGGAACGGATAGCGCTTAAAGAAGAATGGGATACCATTCCTTTTGCACAAATAATAGGAGGTTGCATGTTAATAACTCAATGAATTCTTAAAAATTATATTATATTAGCTGAATTTATAATAGCCAAAAATATCGGGGGTGTGTTACTCTTCTAACATCCTGAAAGGTCTGAAGATTTGCAAGAATGGAATAGAAAACTGTAGATTAAATGTACTTATAATGGTTTTCAATTATCAGATACAGACTTACCCAAAAATTGGTTAAGAGACGTGATTCAGATCAAAATTTTATTTCCTTTTTTTGTTTGAAACCTTTGCATATATCTAAATTGTACCCCTCCAGCAGAGAGCTAATGAAAACGTGAAAAAGAAAAAGAAGATTTTTGTTTTTTAACAAATGGGGGAATGGAAGATGAACTTCTTTTTGGTTCTCCCCGAAAGCGACCTTCCTTTTATTATCCCATTTTAAGGAACTCGATAAAAATTTGGAAAATTCAAAAAGAAATATTTTCTAACTCTAAAAATTTTAAAAGGAAAAACAAAATTATTTAGAAGAGTTTCAAAAAACAACAAAATTGTTTATCAAAAGTATTGGATTTCTAAAAAAAAGAAAGGGTTGGAGAGAATTTCAGAAAGTCATTCTCTCCTTTCTAAAGCTGCGCAAGGCGGCCCCCCCAGAACAAAGCCCACCCCTCTTTTCCCCCCTTTAATGAAGGACCCTCGCCTCGCTTCCTATTCATTTGTGGGTTTCAAAAGTTAATCTAACTGTATTATTTAGATTCAAAGAAATATGTGATTCCAATGAAACAAAAAAAAAGAAAAAGCTTATCTAATCAGTGATAAAAAAAATTAATGAATCATTTCGTCAAATTCAATATGGAAATTGGCCGAATTCTTCACTAATAGAAACAAAAATGAAGGATTTGACTCATAGAACAAGTAAAATAAAAAATCAAATAGAAAGAATTACAAAAGAGAAAAAGAAAGTAACTCCAGAAATATACATTAATACTAACAACATAAATAATATTATAAAATTCGAATCGCCAAATTTTTTCCCAAATATTAAAAAGCAGAAATCATCGATAAATATGGAAATACCATTATTTTCTAAATTTATTCATTCCATGATTATACATCAATCTATTATTATCTATCATTAATATTCCTAGAATTACTACACAACTATTTTTCAAACCAACAAACAAATTGATTGAGAAATTCATCTCCAATAATGAAATAAATCAAGAAGAAATAATTAAAAAAATATTCACATTATGTTTATTTCGACTATAAAAAAAGTCAATTTATAGTATTAGTAAGAAAAATTGATATAGTTTTTGTGATTTATCCTACATGTCACAAGTCTATATATTTTACATATTATCACAAACCCAAATTATTAGTTTTTCTAAATTTAGATATGTTCTTCAATATAACACATCGTCTTACTTCCTTAAGACTAAAATAAAGGACTATTTTAAAACACTAGGAATATTTCATTTGGAATTAAAACATAAGAAGCTTCAGAGTTATAGAATAAATCAATGGAAAAACTGATTAAGATGGCATTATCAATACGATTTATCTCAGATTAAATGGTCTAGATTAATGCCAAAAAAATGGGGAACTAGGTTTAGTCAAAGTTGTATGGCTCAATATAAAAATATAAACTTAAACAAATGGAATTCATATCAAAAAGACCAATTACTTCATTACAAAAAAGAAAATGATTCGGTACTCTATTCATTATCAAACGAAAATGATAATTGTCAAAAATGTTATGCATATGGTATTTTAGCATATAAATCGATTAATTATGAAAGTAAAACTGACTCATTTTTTTCTAGATTACCCTTTGAAGTTCAAGTAAAGAAGAACTTAGAAATTTCGTATAATTTCAACACTTCCAAACACAACATTGTTGATATGCCCGACAATCTTCATATCAATAATTATATAAGAAAGGGCAATATTCTAGATATAGAAAGAAATCTCGATAGAAAATATTTTATTTGGAAAAAATTATCCATTTTTCTCTTAGACAAAAAGGAGATATTGAAGACTGGGTTAGGATCGATACAAAAAATTATCCAAATACTAAAATTGGTATTAATTATTATCAAATAATTGATGAAATTGAGAAAAAAGTTTTTTTTTTATATCTTACAACTCATTAAAATCCAAAAAAAATCAAAAAAATTCGAAAAAAAGGACTTTTTGATTGGATGGGAATGAATGAATAAATATTTAATCGTCCCATATTGAATTTGGAATTTTGGTTCTTCCCAGAAATTGTACTACTTTATAATGTCTATAAAATAAAACCATGGATTATACCAAGCAAATTCCTTCTTTTTAATTTGAATACAAATAAAAATGTTAATCAAAATAAAAACCAAAACCAAAACTTTTTTCTACCATCAAATAAAAAAAATAAAGAATCGAAGTCAAGAAGCAAAAGAACCCCCAAGTTAAACAGATCGTGGATCAGATATAGAAAAAATGAAATCAGAGCCCTGTTTTTTCAAAACAACAAACCGATCTTGAAAAATATTACGTGGAATCAGACACAAAAAAGGGTAAAAATAAAAAACAATACGAAAGAACCACGGAAGCAGAACTACATTTGTTCGTAAAAAGTTATTTGCTTTTTCAATTGAGATGGAACGGTGCTTTGAATCAAAGAATGCTCGCAAATATCAAAGTATATTGTCGCATGCTTCGAGTTATAAATCGAACCAAAATTACTATATCGTCAATTCAATGGAAATAAATGAGTTTGGATATAATGCTAATTCAGGCTAATTTACATCCTACAGACTTGATGAAGAATGGGTTATTGATTATTGAATCTATTCGGTTGTTTGTAAAAGATAATGGACAATTTATTATGTATCAAATCATAGGTATTTCATTATTTCATTAAAGTAAACACCAAACTAATCAAACATACTAAGAACAAAGATATGTTGATTAAAAGAATTTTGATGAATTCATTCTGCAACCTCAAACTCAATGAATAAAAAAAGAAAAAACGCATTTTTGTTTGCTTCTTCCTTAAAATATTTTATGGTCTAGACATCGTAGAGAGTTGAGAATTTGAAGTTTTTTTAATTCTTTGAATTGGAATGTCGTTAATAGAAATTCAGTATTTTGCAACGAAATCAATGTAAAAAACTGGAGTCAATTTTTGGGTGAACGGAAACCCCTTTATAAAGATAAAAATGAACTAATTAAATTTAAGTTCTTTCTTTGTCCTAATTATCAATTAGAAGTT